TAATGTTTGATGTTCCCAATTCATTCCTTCTTCATATTATTTGCACAAGGTTTTTTCCTTTGTTAATGTTGCCAGTCATTAGTCAATTTTATGACTCCCTTTGAAGAAACAACTGGTGGGATCTTTCTATAGTTTCTTTGTTTCAGTTTCATTTATTCCTGCTTCTTATTATTACCTTTCTTGTGCAAAGGGTAGGCTTTTCTGTTACTCTTTTTAAAATTGTTGTTGTGTTTAAGGAGCTGGTTTGTTTTTTCTTTGTTATTATTGTTTATATTTTGCTATAAATTGACCTCTGGAGACTCTTTTTGCTGCATCTCAAATATTTTGATATATTGTATTTTCATTCTTTGATTCTAAGATTTTTTTATTTGCTGTTTATTTCTTCTTTTGCCTAGTAGTTTTAAAGCATGATGTTATCCAGTTTTCATTTGTTTTCCTCCTGACTTTCATATTAGAAGTTTCTGATTTTATAGCACTGTGAGCCAAGAAGTTTATAATATTTCACTGTTTTTGCGTCTATTGAGGCTTGTTTTGTGGCTTAAGAGGAGATCTAGTCTGAAGCATGAATCTAATCAAGAGAATTGTATTGCGTTTTTGTTAGATGCAGTGTTCTATGAATATATTTGTGAGGTCAAGTTGGTTGATTGAGATGTTGAGCTACTCTGTACGTTTATTGAATTTCTTAGCTACTCTGTACGTTTGTTGAATTTCTTTTGAATTGTTCTTAACTTCAGCAAAAGTAGTTTGTTAAAGTTTCCTGTTGTGGTGGTTGTTGTTAGGTGCTTCTGAGTTGAGTACAACTCATAGGGATCCTATGAACAACAGATCTGAACCTTTCCTATCCTGTGCCAACCTCATCATCTCTGACATACTCCAGCACATTGTAACAGTCACTGGGTCAATCTATCTGGTAGAGGGTCTTCCTCCCTTTAGTTGACTTTTTACCTTTCTAAGCATGATGCCTATTTCTAAGGAATCACCTCTCCTAGCAACATGCCCAATGTATGTGAGGTGAAGCTTTATCTCCTTTGCCTCCAAGGGGCACTCCAGATGTACTTTCTCCAAGACATATCTGTTTGTTCTTTTGGCATTCCAAGAGATATTCAGTATTCTTCTCCAACACCACAACTCAAAGGCATTAATTCTTTTCCTGTCATCCTTATTAAAAAAGGGGGGTCCTATTACTATTGTTGAATTGTCTATCTTTTCAAGTCTGCAAATGTTTGTTTTACACCCATACTAGTAGGAAACAAAATAAATAAAACAGAAAATATTAAAAAATCCCTAGATTAAAATAAGAATGAAAATATAACAAAATACTTGAGGTGTAGCAAAAAGAGTTTTCAGAGGTCCATTTATATCAATAAACAGACACAGCAACAACAACTACAAACAAAACCAAATTAGCACAGCAATGAATTTTTTTTAAAGGTAGTATATATTATTGGATGTGTAGGCACTTGCTTCGAGCCAACCATAAAGGTAGATATTTGCACAGGGAGTGATGTGGTTAACAATTTATTCATTGAAAAGATATCTTTAAAAAAAGATTAAAAATGACTATACACCAGACCTCAATAGGTAGGACACATAAATCAAATCCACTACATCTAGAGAAAGAGATGTTGGAGAAACTCATTATCACCCAAGAACACATGCCAGCTATGAAACAGACCATCAATTATTCATATGCAAGATCAAGTAGAAGGTGAAGAAAAATTTCAAAAGTCTGTGACAGCAAAAATGTGAATTTACATGTGTGTGTTAAAAGATCATCTTAACACAAGATTTGATTTAGTAAGCCAACTCTAAAATGGCAAGGAACTACATTGAAACACTAGCAAGCAAAGATGTCACTTTGAAGACTAAGATCAGCCTCATCCATATCATATTTTTTATCATCTTGTAAGCATCTGAAAGGCAGGTGGTGAATAAGGAATACTGAAGAATTGATTTGTTTGAATTGTGATATTGGCAAAGAATATTGAATATGCCAGGAACTACTAAACATCTTGGAGAAAGGATAATAGATATCTATCTTCAAGATAGTAAATAAATCTATCTTGAAGAAAGTATAATGAAACTTCATCTCATATAATTTATACATTTTATCAGGATGCACCAATCCCTGGAGAAGGACAACATGCTGGGTACAATAGTTGTTCATTATCATTGAGTCAGAATCTATTTACAGCTGCTCCTTGGGTTTTCTAGAGGCTATAAGTCACACAGGAAGAGACTGCTCATATTTCTCTCTTTGAGTAGCTAGTGGATTCAGATTGCATGCTTTTGGTTTACCAGCACAATTCCTTACCAGTAGGCCACTAGAGATCTTGATAGAGTAGAGGTGACAAAAAAGGAGGAAGACTGTGAGAAAGTGCTGATTTGACACAGTGGTTTCAACAACAGGCTGACACATAGTTAGGCTAGTGAGGTTGGTACAGGACTGGGCAGTATTCCAGCTCTTGTTTAGAGAATTGCTACAGGTCAGAACCAGTTCAATAGCCCCTAACAAAAACAGCAATTTTGTGGACAAGAGGTGGGCGATTATTAAACAGGTCACCATTTACCTTCCTACCTAGGACTGAGGAAAGACTTGGCACAGCTTGGTACTTGCCTTCTCCCAGCTTTTCAGCTTCATTTCACTCCATTTCCCCCCCTGTTTTTTTGCCACCAAGACTGTCATCTGCATGACTTGCTTATACAACTAATGTCATTTCACATTCTTCACATATTCTGTTGTCATTCAAATCTTCAAAATTCTTACCTTGCCTATTTCTCCTTCCCTTTAACTTAAGTTTTAGACTGTTAACTGAAAGGTCCACAGCTGTTCCATGGGAGGAAGAAAACAAAGTCTTCTCCTGCTAAGATTTATAGCCTTAGAGACTTGGTGAAGCTGCACCATTAGTTGGAATCAACTCAGTTACGAAAGATTGGGTCTTGTCTCTAGTTTATAATGCTTGAGATGGTTTGCAGTGTCTTATCAGATATAGGTGTGATTGTGAAACTTTCTCTCTTTCAGTTAGAGTCTTAAATTTATTACCTACCTACCTACCTACCTACCTACCTACCTACCTACCTACCTATCAATATTCTCTTGTTCTCTCTTACTTGCATATTAGTTCATATTAATTTGCAGACTTTCCTTCCATACAAAGGAGTAAGTGATAGTAAAAATCTCTCATTCTATCCTGTATTGGTGGTGATAGTGTTTTACTTTATTTACAATTCTTTTTTTCCTGGAATGTTGTAGAAAGGTGGTGTGGAGATGGGCAAGTCTGTCCTCTGTTAACACCACAAAGGGAGGGACAGCCCTCATCAGCAACACTCAACAATACAAAACCAGTTCCCATAAGGTCAGATAAGGCTTCCACCCTCCCATACCTTCTTCTTTGAATTCCAATACCAATTGTACTGCTCTACTAGTGGGTCCAAAATCCATTTCAATAGGTACACGACTTCACAGAGCCATATTCACATTTAAAGATTACACTGGGGAAGGTAACAGGTTACAAATCAACTTGATATCAGGATAGAGAAGTAGGAGAGCTTCTCAAGCATGCCTGCCTTTAAGTCCTTTGCCCTTCAGTTTCAAGTCTTAAGTCAGAGTTACAATCTCTTAGTCCTGCACAGCATCTTCCAGAAAGCTTAGATGAAGGCCCTAGTCCTGGTAATCTCAGGTCAGCTCTGACTCAGGTTGGTCTCTGGCTCTACCCTTAGTTGGTGGCTGCTCTTGTGTAGATTCTAGCCTCACCTGTGCATTGAATTCTGCATCTTCTGCTTTTTTCTCCTTTGCTGGTAATGAAATTACCTTCTGTTGCTGCTAAAAACCTGCTCAATTTAAACCTGGTTGGATGGCCAAACTAAGCAATCCCACCATAAGTCTTTAAGCCATCTGGTTTGCATATTCCCACCCAGCCATGAGCTGGGAAAGCATTTTGTCTGCACAGCAGCTATTCTGCTTGAATGGGACTGTTTCACCTTCGTACTGAGCCACAGGTGGCATGGGGTAGGTTGGTCAGTGGCTGCTGTAGGAGCAGAGCTGGGTGGGGCCATGTGGTTTGTGGACCTCACTGTGTTCTAGGACAGACAGACCAGGACTCATCACTGGATCCCTAACCCCATGTTGGTGGGCTTTCGATACAAGGTTATTGCTGTTCAGTGAGGCTGCCTTTATATAGTCCTGAGACCCTCTAGAATCCCTCTCCATCCCAAAAGAGAAAAATTTCATTTCAGCAAAGGCCATTGAGCCTGTGCCAATCTTTGGTCCTGAGAGGAAACTGGGAAGGTATTTGGAAGATCCTAAGGGGCTGGGACAGTTAGAATCATGGGCCCACATGATTGTTTTGGGTTCTTGAGAGGTGGCACAGAGCTGAATGTTACTGGAGATACCGTCTTTATTCTGTAAGCTACGTACCTCTGATGTAGTCCTTTGACTGTGTCAAATGTAACTGAGAGGAGGTCTGGGAGGTGCAGGAGCGGGGGCTCACCACAAGATTCTTTGTGTTTTATTGAAGGAAAAAGCACTTAAAACACCTTCCTCTTTCTTTTTGGGACACACAAGGAGATGAGATTTGCTATGGGAAGAACGAATAGAAAGAGGTTCACTTTGTTTTCCACAGTTTTGACCAGTAAACTAAGTGCTACTCACCAATTCAACTAGTACAAGGGCCTGAGCAGCAAGAACCAGTGCAGGGAAGGAAAGAGGGCACCGTTGATCCTCAGATAGAAAGGAAGTCTAGAATAGCAATAAAATGTGCTCAGTAAACAGTAACGACTACTGAAGTAGCAAATACTATTTCGTTATTAGAATGTAAATATTATTATAATTTAAATAGTCTATATTATTTACTTGGCAAATAGTAAATAATAAATATATATATTAGCTTAGTAAACAGACCAAAAATGTTTTCTGATTTAAACAAAGAAAGACAATCTGATAATTCAGTGTTAACTCAACTTGTGGTTCCCTGTTTTTTTGTTTTGTTTTTTACTTTTAGGCTTTTCCTCCAAATGCCATCACTGTCATCTTTTACTGCAGTTCAGTGACTGTATTCTTCACAGTAATCAAGCTGGTCAGTTATCGCCTGCACCTCATGTTTGATGAAGGGGAAATAATTCAGCAGAAACCTTCTCAGCAGAAAGAAAAGACAAGGACAGAGAAAGAGGTGAATGCTGGACTTGCAACCAATCACAAACATCCAAGGTAACTTTTCCAATTAATAAATATCTGTTCAAAATGATAATGTTTTAATTTTGATGGAAGATATTTTTCCCAGTTTTTTAGTTGTTTATGAAAATGGTCTAGTAAATGTATACATGTGTGTGTCTGTATATCTCTCTATATGTTTCAGTAAGGATAAAACTGATATCAAGCATGATTAAGATAGTGTAAGTATAAAAATGGCCTTATACCTTGATCTAAAATTAATCTGCATTTATTTTAGTACTTTAGTAGTTTTATATTTCCACTGAAATGCATGTAGCATACAAGAGTGTGGGGTTTTTTTAAGTTCTTTTTTTTTTTTTAAATTTAGGTTGTTTATTTTTCATTTCAATGAACATCTACAGAATATTCCCTGTTCCCACTGACTGGGAAAAAGTATTCGGTAATAACATATCAGATAAGGGACTTATATCCAGAATTTAT